TAACCAAACCTAACACAATGTATTCGCCACGCACCGGGGTGGATTTACACATGAACTGCACCTCAGTCATTCAGTCGACGTACAAAATGATCATTATAACAGACAAAACTGTGCATTTTGCCAATAACGATCCCTTGATAGGTATCAATGATTTTTGCTCCTGAGTAAATCCACCCTTTCATCAGCTCATGTAAATGTTTGATGCAGCAGCACATTCCACCAGCACAGATCATACTATCGCATGCTGTGTGGACCTGGTGCCACCAACCTGTACCAGCTGCTCATGTCTATGCGCATGTGTGTAAAAACAGGCATTGTTTCTGTGTTGCTTTTTTTTTTTTTTGCTTTGGCATGTTAATGTTGGTAATGTCTGTGTGTGAAAGAGAACTGACACAGGAATGCAGCATTAACTGAAATCCTGAGCAAAAAAGTTGGCAACGTTGGACAAAAAGGCAACAAAGCAGGACAGTTCCATGCTTTCAGTATGTGCGTGTGTGTGTGTGTGTGTTAAGACGCTGCATGTGTGGGGCGATTATGGGTACTGGATTAATGTCACTCTAGTCTAAAATAAGCTGTTATAATGGCTGCTTTACTGCTGTGACTTAACATGCAAGCCCACAGTGGGGTGCAAAAATCTAGGATCACCTTTCGGAAAGTGGTCTCAGACTTTTTTGACCCCACTGTATGTGTGTGTGTGGTTTTGTGTAAGACATCATGGGCACAAAGTTCTCTTGGCACAACTGAAGCGTCTGAGGACACACTTTAGACACGCTCCGAGATAATAAAACACCATATAAATATTCAGTAACAACACATATGAATGAAATACACCTGTCTGTTTAAAAATAAATAAATAAATGAATAAACCAGACTTGCAAGCAAGTATAACTGGGTCCAAGCACCCTTCTGCAATTCAGAACCGGAGGCTCATCGACCCAAGCTCACTGGGAAGCCAAGAGCATTGTCTGTTTCACAGAAATAAGAAATAAAAAATAAAAAAAACAAAGACATGAAAAATTTCTGAAGCTTACAAAGGCATTTAGATTTCAGACATCACTTAAACAACCTGAAAAAATGTCTACTCAAGTATGCAGATGATATAAAAGTAGCAAATTACAGACTGAATTGTATTTTCTTGTTTTGTCACTTGTGGTGCCAAAGTACACAGATAGAAATGTGAAAGCAGTCAGATTTGAAATTGGAGTTCAGTACTAGTGATTTTAAATTTAAGTGGCAAACTGACTACATGAACAAAAACAAGTACTGAACAAAATCTTCCAAGCCAAATAACAAAATAACAATTCGTGTGATTGAAAATTAGTGAGAGCAACATGATCTTAACCAGATTAACACAGAGGTGTGTTCAGTGCTTTTTAGTGCTTTTTTTGTTAAGGGGCATTGATGGAGACAATTTTATCCACAAGAGACTGAGATAATGATTAACAGCTGTAAAAATAATTGTCTTTTCATCTCACATTTTCACTCTTTCTGCCTTTTCAGTGGCTGTTTTTTCTTTTTCATCCTTTTCCACTTCTCCAGTCAAACAGAAACACACTCGTCCTTGTTGTTGTTTATTTTCTCTGCCGGTTTTCTTCCATTAATTATTTCGTCCATTAGTTTTCTTGTGCCCAGTTCAGCTTGATGTCCCCCAAAGCTACCAAAGATCCATCAGCCAGAATCAGTGGATGTGAATGTGTGTCAGTGTGTGTGTGTGTGTGTGCATGTGTCCCGTACGCCAAACCAGGTCAGCACTCATGCTCTACTTTTTCTTTACAGAAAGTTTCATTGAGAGGACATTCCCTGCTGTCACTGCTGAATCCAGGTTGGATGCTTGCTGTATATTTGTGTGCCTGTGTGTGTGTGTGTGTGTGTTCATTAACATGTCCATTATCTCTGTCATTCAAAAAGTGTGTGAAGCATCATTTTTGTTTCATTCTCAGGAAACTCTTCATGTCTCTTGAACTTCATTCTTTCAGTGTGCTTTTCAGTATCATGTCCAAAGTAAGCAGATAGAGAACGACGGAGACCCCTCCAACATCCAACAAAGTGGCTTTGAAGGGCACTATGCAGGGAAGGTTATGAAATGTTCATCTAACTGCTTCTTACTAGTGTAGCAAGTTTAGTGTGCTTTGTAAAGTATACGCATCAAAGCACTGATGGTTGTGTTGTCTGTGCCAATTGTCTCTCCCTGGGCTGATTTTCATTGAAAACATACCTTAATCCCTATGGATAGTTGTCCGTACCCTTGTCTGGATATGTCTAAAATATCTAAATTTGTGTTGACTGAGCATGGATCAATGCTTTTTGGCACTGCATTTTGCAATGGTAGCCATATTTGCCCCATAGCTATTAGTTGGCCCTGCACAATAGCTATTATTAAGTTACATGCATCTCTATGCCAGCGAACGTTTACACATTTCATAGTGAGGCGATGTTTTAGAGAGCATTGTTTCTTGTTTGCAGATGATCCTTCAAGAGGAGGGGATAGCAGCATGGCACAGTCACAGGGCTGGGCATTATTGATCATATCGTGAGTTTTATTTTTATATTGTAAAATGTTGCCTACACTAAAAATACAAAGCAATCAAAGGTCAAATTTCTATCTGTTTTTATTATGAGAGTGCCAGCTGAGCTAAATAGCTCAAGTTTTACTTCCCATGCAGTCCAATACTGTGGACATAAATGAGATAAAGAGGTTATTTTCATGCTTAAACACATACAGTGTTATATAGTGTATTGATATTGGAGGAGGGTTTTCTGGTTATTTGTTTTTTTCTTCATACTGCACAGGCCTATCTTTGGGTACAAATAATTAAAACTATAGTACAACTACACAGGCATAACTGGTGGTCATTAGCACTTTACTCTAATTGGTATGAAAGTCACAACCCTTATTAGCAGCCTCTGCCTGAAGTCAGTGTCTTTAAAGGCCAATTTTGCCCACATCTTTTGCTCCTCTATGCACAGGGTGAATCCACTCATCAGGGTACACATTGAATTTGCTCAAGTCTCATTCTATTTCTTTCAAAAAATATGTAGACATGAAATAGTGATAGGTCAAACACTTCATATAAGTGGGAAATATCTGGTTTATAAAGTCTAATCCAAGAGGAGAGAGTTCAGCCTGGAGGAGATGTGATATGTGGAGTAAGCAGAGATGAAATCTGAGCTCTGCATCTCCCGGAGCAGGGAGTGGTGTTATCACATATCCACCACTTTAAAAAGAGGGAAGGAATGAGCTGAAGGTGATGGCGGAAGAGAGGAGGGGAAGGTAATGACAGATGCAGTGAACCTGTTTTGCTACAAGACTCTCTCACTTCACATATAACACAACACGTGCTAATTGCAAAAAAAGGATGTCGCTCCAAGCTACAGTGTTCGTGTTCTAAATAAAAGCAATAGATGTGTTGCTGAGGATTACACCTCTGCACTTGTAAGTTATGGTTTTCCGTGCAGAGAGGCGTGAAGAAGAACCACAGACAAGGGGACGAAATGGATGGGAGAGTAGGTGGGAGCATGAGAAAGGAGGAATGGGGAAGGCTGAAAAACAGAGGAAGCAATCTCTCCCCTTTTTATGGAATTTTTTCTATCCGTTCCACATCAGTAATGGATAGAGAGTGGCGGGGAAGTGAGGGGTAAGAGGGCATGAAGAGACATGGAGGAAATCAATGTTTCTCCTCTTTCATCGGCACTGAAAATGTTATGGTTGCTAGTCAGGCATTGTGTGAGGTTGTACAGTCAATCTTAAAAGGTCCTGAGAAAAAAACCTAATCTGTCCATGGGATCTATTTGATGATGTTACTAAGGAAACTATTTGAGTGTTATTTAGATTTCCTGATTTGATTCAAAGTCAGAGTTGCTGCTCAGAGGGTGTTTTGTCTCTGTGTCAAACCCTGTATCTTGGTTTTCTCCTCCTCTTGAGTTGATCCGTTTGATTATTCCGTTTTGTGACTTTTAAGAATCTGTATGTGTTATCTGTCAAATGGAAAACAAGTTTAAGTGTAATCTGGTCTGTTGTGGTCAGTATATTTTGTATTCTACTTCTTTTCTTTGTCTATTGTCTTCTTGCATTTTCTACTCTCCTCCTTTGGTGTTTTTTTACATTTACCTTTCCAACAGCGTGTCATGGTTTCTCTCCCTCTCTCTACAGTGCATTTTGCAATCCTTTGTTATCTCCACTGTTTCCTCCCTTGCCTGAAATATTGAATAATTCTATTTTTTCAATAAGCTGTACTTTTAGTTTGTCTCTATGTATTTTGATTTTAGCAAAACTGAACCTTCAAGCCTTCTAAACCTCCTTTTGCCATACCTCTGATTCTTTTGGAAAAAATACCCACTACCACTCAGCTGGTTTGGAGTCTCTCCACTGCTCTCCAGTTGCTATCTTTAGACTTGTTACTCCTCCCACTCCTATTCTTGCATAGATATATCTGGAAATAGACAATTTTTCAGTCTTTGTATTCTTCCCAAGTATCTGATCTGTCACCGCCTCTCACACAATCTCTGTGTAGAAAAGTCCAAAATTGCAAGGCTTTTCTTGCCTTTCCTCATTTCCTCAGACTCCATCTTATCTTGTCCCTGCACTTTCAGCTTTCATCCTCCTCTGCACCAGTGTTTCCTGCCTATTTTTTACAGTACGCAATGAATCTGGTCAAATCCCCTGTAGCTGTCTCTCTCTGTAGACTTTTCTGTTTTTCCTCCCCTCTTACAGTGCATTCCCCTTTCCCTTCCTACTCCACTTCTCCTTCTCTCTCCTTGTTCCCTCTGTCCTTGATCATTCTGTCTATCACAGAGCTATCCTTACCTTTCATGCTTTGTTTTCACTGAATCCTATCTTCTGTTTCTGTAGTTGGTATGCTGTAACCAACTCCTTCCTTTCAACTTCATTCAGTTCTCATTACATTCTTTCTTCAGGTCTATCAAATTTTATTTTCCCTCACCCCCCTTCTCTGTGATCCACTCTTCTCTCTCTGTTTGGTACCTTCTTTCATCTCCCTCAGCCTCTTAATGTGTTGATTTTCATGTTTGTCACATGTCGTCTCCAGCATGGCAGCTCTCCTCTCCGTGTATAATGAGGACAGGAAAGAAGAATGCGTCCTGGTAGGATGGAGGACGATCCCTCTCACCCTCCCTCCCCTCACCTCCCCCTCCACTGTCTTGCTCTGCTTCTTCATCCCTCTCTGTTCCTCCTCTTCCCCTGTCTTCCCTTCTCCTCACCTCCTCCTCCTGCTCCTCTTCCTCGTCGTCATCCCCTTCTCCTTCTAGCACTCCTCTGGTCTCCTCGTTGTCCTGTCTTGAACCTAACCCAAGGAATCCTCCTCCGCCTCCCCCACCTCCACCACCTCCTCCTCCTCCTCCCCCACCTCCTCCTCCTGCACTTCCTCCTCCATCTTCCCTACCTCCTCCCAGCCCTCCCCCCATGCTTCTTGAATGAAACAGGCTGTTCTGGCGTCCTCCCAGTCTCCCTAGAGAGAATCCACTCCGACTGAGCACCAACCTCCCTCCCATACCCCCACCCCCTGGCCCGGCTGCCCTGATCCCTGCCACAGTAGCGTTCAGGAGGGCAGTGGTTCCCATCGGGGCCCTTAGCCTGGAGGGAAGACTGGAACTCGATGTTGTCCTCCGGCATCGGGGGCAGCTCTGGAGGAGGTAAGCTGAGTTGAACACCACAGGCAGAGCCAGAGGAGGTGGGTTGGTCACCTGGTTAGGGGTGGTGCTTGGGGGCCCAGAGATGGGTGTAGAGACGGTGGGGTTTGTCCCCCCACTTGTGTCCAAGTCCATAAGGAGGGCTTCAGAGTAGCTCGGGACCATCTGTTGGTTACAGCGGATGTGCCATTCCAATTCTGTCATGTCCACTGTGTTGACCCGAGAGATGGCTCTGTAGCTGGTCCCGTTCAGACCAATTCCAATCGCAAGTCCTCCCGGGTGGATTCCATTCTCAGTCCCACCTTCAGTCCCATCCCCTCTTCCGCCTCCACCTGGTCCTCCTCCACCTCCTCCTCCGCCAGTATCCTCGTCCTCCCCGAACAGCTTCTCCACATGGTAGTGGACATATGCTGTGCGATATTCTGACACAACCCGCAGCGGCCATGACAGCAGAAAAGCTGAGGCTAGCCAGAACACCCTGTGCCTTGAAAACCACGGCTGGTGAGCAGGATCTGGGAATGCCAGGATGTGTTCACGGAAGTCCACGTTCTTCAGGTGCATTCCCTCCCTGGCCTCCATGTAATCGTCAAGGCCCTCGTTCTCCCCAAAGAAGCGCGCTCGCTTGGAATAACAGAAGATTACAACACATTAGCTTTGTAAGAATTAGCACAGAAGCAACTGACAGTATTACCGGTGTAAGAATCTGTCATAATCAATTTATTGAAAGAATGGCAACTCTCTGAAACCAAAAACCTAAGATTAAACATGTAAGGAATGCTCTAAGGTAAGATGCATGTCAGGCTAACTAGCTTACTACCTCCAACAGTAACCAGGCATTACTTTGAAGGCCAAGGAGCACATCTTTAACCAACAACATTAGTTTATGGGTTCACAGCGTTGACAGTGCCGTTTCTTTATTTCACGTCTTCTACATGGATTATCAGCTGGTGAGGATGCCTGGGACATACAGCTTTAGCTTTAGTCTTTCAGTACAGTATCATGTATTCTGCCATCCAGTGCATATCTAAGCCTCTTTAATTTTGTCAGCTATAAACATTAAAAGGTGAGCTGGTTGATGATCTCTTGATAGAAATAAGATAAGACTTCTAAATAGAAATGTTTCAGAAATTACTAACCAAACTATAAGCAATACTAAATTAATTTTTGAGCAGCGCACCACAAAACTCATGAAGTTGTTTTTATCATTTTAGAAATATTTCCAAATTAGATACCAGAAACCATTTTACATGCCTTCCAACCAAAAACGTATTAATCGGCTGCAGACTGTACAGAACTCAGCCGCCAGGTTTTTAACCAGGTCCAGGACAAGTGACCACATAACGGCGGTTTTAGCCTCCATGCACTGGCCTTCAGTATGTTTAAGAATTGATTTTAACATCTTTCTGTTAACTTGCAATGTAGATGACCTTTTAGATGCATATGAGCCATTATTTTAGTCTGAGATCCTTAGGCAGAGGTATTTGATCTGTTCCCGTGGCGTCGCTGAAAACTAGAGGTCACAGAGCGCTTGCAGTCAGAGCCCCGGAGCTATGTAACGTGCTGCCTGAGGAAATCAGGTCAGCAGAATCAGTGACCTCTTTTAAATCTCCTCTTTAAACATACTTTTATTGGAGAGCTTTCCTGATTTTACTTGATTTTGACCTGCTCTTTTGCTGCCAACGCTGTGATTGGTTTGTGATTTATTTGACTTGCTTATTACTGTATGGGAAATTGTTTTTATGATCTGCTTGTTTTGAAATTGTTGCATTATGTGAAAAACTTTGTAACATGGGTTTGGAAAAGTGCTCTATAAATAAAGATTATTATTATAACAGGTCACACCTTGAATTCTGTCCTTATGTTACCACATTTTATTGGCAAATAACCAACTGATTACTTTGATAAAATGAACATAATGAGTAGTTGCAGCCCTCATAAGAACAGAGTAGAATTAAATATGATGTCTTTTACCAGATATTACCTGGGTGAGGTAGGCAGCTTCAGCACGTGCGCTAGAGAAGCTAAAGAGCAAAAAAATCTGTTAATACCTTGTTTATCCCCCAGAATAATAATCTTAACACCAAATTTTTGATTTATTGTATTGGGGGTCTAACCTGAAACACTTGGTGAAACGGAGGCGAACAGCAGGGTGCAGTTGAAGGTCCAGCAGCTCCTTTGATACGTCTTTGACACCATAACGGGCGTAGTCAAACTCTGAACTGGAGGCATGAGTGTTCACCCGCTCATGGTAGACCTGAGGAAGGAGGGAGCAGGGCATGGATGGAGGGAAAGGGAGTGATAAAAAGGGAGAGGAGGTAGGAGAACGGATGGGCGGTTGAAGAAAAGAAGGTTTAAGTTATTGGGAAGACATTTTAATGTTCATATACGTATCAGCAGCAATAAAGCCTGATAACTAAAGAGAATGATATTTTTCTTACTGCACACAGCCCCGCTACAGGAGAAATTAAGATATGCATAGCAGTTATTATAAACGTTTTCAAAATCATAACTCAAGGTTGAACAGTGCAGCTATTAAAGAGAAAAGAGAGCAAGTGAGAGAAAGTATTAGTGTGTGTGTTAGGAGGAGTTCCCCTCACCTGTGTGGTTGTGTATGCATCTCCGTTGCGGTATCTTGTCACCTGTCTCGTCCTCCTCACATAGTGGTAGCTGATGGCCTTCCACCAAATACAGGGTGTGGCCTGCTGAAGTCTCTGCACACGCTCGTACACTTCCTGTGTCAAAGGTGTGAATGAATAATAAAAATCTCTTAATTGCCAGATTTAAAATAATGAAAGAAATTGCCAAACTTCCCACAACTGACTCTAATCTTTTGAAAAACATGTTTTCCATCAGCATTTTTGTAAAGATTTCCTCCCAAACAAACTTTTTAAAAAATGAGGGTGAACAATCTAAAATATGAAGAAGTAACACTGCCTGAGCAGTTTTTGCAATTGCAGTGCCAGGAGAAACAAACAATTAAGGTCCTATTGTTTGAATCAAGCATAGTTAAATTTGTGTAATCTGGTGCAAAAACAGGACGTGCCAAGGTTTGTTTATGGTGTTATGATTTGCTTTTTACACTCTATTTAATGTTGGCTTCACTATATGATTTGTGCCCTTGACAGTCCAGACTGACATAAAAAATGTTTTTGTTTTTGGCAGTGGCAGATGAACAGTGAGCACTGTTCTTTCGAAGCAATGTGCTCCTGGAATTCCTGATAATAGACAGAACCGATCAGAGTGGACAAAAGATCGACTGATAGTCTCAGGTCAGCTTATTTCCATATGAGTGGGCAAGTTTTATTTTTTCCCACACTCAAGTAGAAAATTTAGAGTAAAACACTGAAGATTTTTGACTCTATTGCATTAAACAGACTGTTTAGGGGTTCTAATTATCCTTTATTTTCTCTGCACTGCAACTGTCAGCACTGACATTTAATATGACACCATTTTATTTACTTATGTTCTTTATTTTTTTTCATTTTGCTGACACTATCATACAACAAGATCCAATGAGTAAACAGATAGTGTCTGGCTCAAGGTCATAGATCTATTGCTAGAGTGCTACTGCAGCAGTGGACTCCACAGTCTGTTGAGTTTTGGGTTTACTTGTTTTTTCAAGCTATTAGACTACCTTGCTCATAGCTGAATTCAATGCTAAAACTGGCTATGACAGATACCTGGAATTCAGCATGAGCCAACATGGCTGTCTTGGAGAAGCAATGCCAACACTCCACCAGGTAAACCACATAAAGCATAGCCAGGAAGGCCAGGGGGATGTAGACGTAGCCACTAGAGCACGGACTTTCCAGGTGCAGGATGTCGTTATAGTAGGCCGCTGAGGTGGCATCGTCATCAGCCCCAAGAGGTATGGAGGAGGAGCCGAGAACGGGGACCCGACAGAGAGCGCACCAGGCGAGTGTTGCAAAGCAGCCGTACATTAGGAGGGTCAGGAGGAGGCACTTCCAGTGGGACTCCCGACACAGGGAGGAGGCCAGAGACTGTTGGACTGGCCGTTGCTGTGGGGACACAGAGAGAGGAGAGATTAGATGCTGAATGCTGCTGACTGCTCCCTGAAGAAGGCACTAGGCCAAAAGTTTGCTTGTTATTTCTTTGCAAACGAGTCTGTGAATATAGTTGTAAAACATCTTCTGTGCCTCTAAAGGAGCTTTGTACATTTTTAGAAACACACTTGGCTTGGATTTGGAGTCTAGCACATTTAGCAGAATGCCTGCAATACAAACTGAGGAACATGGACGCAGTAGTGTCCAATCTAACATCATGTTGTTCATACAGCATTTACAAGCAGCTGTATCAGAAAACTGTTCACATCAGCCTCTGAGTGGTAAACCCTAATCTGAGCTATTTAGAATTCCCAGCAGCTACAATATTTGGTAAAGAAATACAGAAGCATCAACAAACAGTTGGTAAAATGGCTGCTAAACCACCATCACTTGCAGGTACATTTAAATAAAATTCAGTATTGACATAAACATAATCCATTCAGCTCAGTTAAAAGGATTTATACACTGTTTAAATGCTTAATAGAGCAGAGGCGGATATTGTAGGGTAATCCAAATGACATGACTACAAGGCGAGCAGTGGGTGTAAGACTCTTGGAATAATGAGAAAACTGGAATATCAGGATGTTTACCTTACCTTCTGCCACCATGTAAATGCAGCATAACTAAAAATGTAATTGAGTTGCATTATGTGAGATATAGTATGTAGTGATTTTGCAGCTTGACCCATACTACTAGAAGTCAGGGTATCTTTATTGGTAGCTGCGCCGATTAAGACCTGACTGTATTATTCTGTCTCTTGCAAGTCCCCCAACATTATAAAAGCACTAACTCACTGGAGTACTCTTAATGTATTTTGAGTGTGAACCACTTTGCTTCTAGTCTCACCACCTGTCACAAGCTACAGTCTATTTATGCAGAGACGTCCTAATAGTGCTACGTGCAAAACTTGAGTACAGCTTTTTTTCTGATTCAAGAACCATTTCAATAGAGTTGGTGCTTTGTGCTTTTACAATTTCCATAATATGTGTAACATGTGTGACGACTTGTTTTAACATTGAACATGACACATTAGCCAAAACTTAGGTGAAAGCAGATTGATCTGAGCCAGAAGATTTTTTTATTTATTTTATTTATAAATTTCTACGTTCTCATGTTAACAGGCAAGACTATAATAAATAATACAGTATGCTTCACAGAGTTAATATTTAATCATGTCTGACATATGAAAATGAGCGCAGCTATGGTGGTAACAGCAAATATTTGTCAAGGTAGCAACACAGATTTTATCTACCTGGTGACGACCTGGTGAGTTTTTAATAATCATTAACTTCCTGTTTGGTAAACAGTGTCATATTTCAGATCAAGTGTGTAAGCTGAGGTCTTGACCGAAGGAATGCATTACACCGCCTCATACCCATCATCAACCCATCATATGATAAGTGCTGCATATTAGACACACACACACACACACACACACACACACAGTTTACGTCTCTCTCTAAGTGCACACTCTGACACAACCTCAGTTGCACTGTGAAGACATCATATTACAGTGCACTCAAACACACACACACACACACACACACACACACACACACACACACACACACACACACACACAGTATGCATTAGATACACAAACATAGATGGTCTAATGTGCCCCCTCTTCTCTCTCTTGCCATCGCTCTATCCGTGCACACACCAGCGTGCACGGTCTCAGCATTGTAATGCAGCCAGTGGAGAGTATGTGAATAATTTAGATGAGAATGATGCTTCTAGACTGTTCTCTAGCTAACTGACTCCACTCCAACATCAGCAGCATGTCACTGCTGCTGCAATTTATGTGTGTGAATGAGTTTGTCCCTGCATGTCAGAGACAAAGAGAGAGGGAAAAACACCCTTAACACTCACCTGTACTGTTTTGTGCAGGATTACATGTGTGTAAGGAGTGTTTATTTATTTGTCTATACTTGCATGTGCCCCCCATGTGTTGTTGTTACGCTCTGCCACGTGCTGAATGTGACACAGCGAAAGACCAACACAGCAGATGACAAAAAAAAAAGATGGGATGACACCAGTGTCCTCTCCTTCTCTGCCTGTCCTGTCAGCACATCACTCCCTCCAGCTATCCAACACACATGCCCCTCTCTCTTTATCACTCCCTCCTTCTCTTCCTCTGTCGCTCATACACACTTTCATTTCCTTCATTGTCTCCCCGTCCAGCACAATGCGGCCACAATTTGCTATCCACTAGTATATTTGGCTGGCTGCAACACACACACATACACACACGCATTGGCTTTCCTGTTTTCTTTTTCTTTTTTTTACTACTGTATGTCAAGGGCAAGTAGTGAAAGGCAGAGTGAAGGGCACCTAAACTTCATTGGTCTCTAGAAATCACTCTGCAAAAGCTGAGGTACTTAAAAAACAAAGACAGGAAAATGATCAATGGCATTAATTCAAGATCATATTTTTCACTTCCTGTCTGCCTTTTTTTCACCACACGCCCCTTCCTTTCATAACATAATCTTTTTTTTCTCTTCCCCGAATCTTCCCTCCCACCTCTAAGCATTTACTCTCCCATCCCAACCTCAGCCTCTTCTCTCCTCCCCTTCCACCTCACCCCACATCTCCTCTGTTACATCCTCTCTGAAAGTCTGTCTCTAAGTGGATTGATTGGGCTAAAAGTGTAATGTAGAGAGAGAGAGAGAGAGAGAGAGAGGGAGAGAGGCAGGGAGAGAGGGTATGAGGAGCGTGAGGGAGACAGAGAAACGGTCATGAACTTTTCATGAAAGCAAGTATGAAAGAAAGCAAAATGAGAGAGAGAGAGGGAGACAGAGAGGGAGAGAGACTAAAGAGAAGGCAGCAGTGACAGACTGCACCTGTCTCCAGGGAAGTCCACTGCCAAAATCCATCCCTCTCGTCCTTCTCCTGCCCCCCCCCCCCCTTTTATTTTGCTGGCTCCAATTCTCTCCTGCCCTTTCCCTCTTACCTTCTGCAGATTAATGCTGCCAAAAGAAGAGAATATTCTAGCAATAAAAAAAAAAGAACCTGCGTGGGTCTCGGCCGACATTTTCATCAAAGCCGGTGTGCCCAGTGAGGAGGAAATCCGCCCTGCGACAGGAGTCAAATTATACCTGTATGCACTTATGCCAATCAGTATTTGTCAGTGAGAGCAGTTCTCTTTCCCATAGGAAAAGACTGTGCTGCTAAAATAAAAAGAGAGAGCCTGGAGATGCTCCATTCACAATTAACTGTGGCCTGACAACACCTGCTGGTGCAAAACTCTGCAGCTTTTTGGTTGTGTCATGATCCTCTCTCTGTTTCAGCTGAGTCTGTTGAGCCTCGGTTCTTGTCTCAGGCAGGAAGAGATCAAAGGGAAATCTCATTCTCCGTGAAATCATTATGAAAAGAAATCTATACAGCCTCGTCTGGAGGGTGTCGACTTTCATTTTTTCATACTGAAAGTTTGGACCGCCCTCTTTGAACAGGGCTGAGACCGGGCAGGTCTTACATGACAAATCTGACAAATTCATTGACTTAAATGCGGTGCCTAAATTTGCTTCATTAAACAAATCATTATCTAACACTAGGCTGAAAATGCTGATAAGACAGCTGTCTGAAGAAGAGCCCACACAATCAACATGATTCCTTGACTCCAGGCTGTTTTTTGAACGCAAATAGTTGTTTTTAAAGAAGCACTTCAGAGCTCTGCTTGGATTTTGCAGGTCCTGCACATACTCTAGTTTTTTCGACACTTTTATTGATACGATTTCATTCTTTTATAATCTTTTTTTTTTTTTTTTAAATTTGGAAAAGCATAGCATCAGTATTGCTGCAATACACATACCCTTATGTGTTTCATCCATTCATTCAAGGTGAGTAGCTCTGCCTTTAGCCACAGCCTTTTTTACTTGCTGCCAGAAGCAATCCTATCAGTTTCTTATCGCTGATATTACACCCTTCAAATGAGATGTGTAACATCAAAAAGGACTGCAGAATCCAAATATGTTATCAATAGTTTTATGAATTTCCTTCCAATAAGGCACAAATACCTGGCAATTCCAGAAAATATGGAAATGATTTGCATCATCTATCCCACACAGTGTCCAACATCTACCACCTCCTCCACTGATGTTGTTTTTGCAAGGGCGTAATTAAAAACCTTACAATATTTTTCAACAGAATTCTCCCCATGTCGTTAAACTAGTTGAATTCGCTTGTGCTTGACATATTCTGCTCCAGCCCTCCATCCTTTCCATCCTTCTCATTCATATGCAACGTATATTCAGACTTAGACTGGAGAATGCTATTATACATTCTGGAGATAATCTTATTACAGGTTGTGGATTTGGATGTTGACAGTGAATGCTGACAGTAGTTGTCAGTATTTTCATGATTCCGATGTCTCGTCTCTAAAGCTGCACCCATCTTCTGGTCAAAATCATGCACAACTCAGAAAAACTCTGTAATATCCCACTGTCAACAAATAAAATAATCAATGTGCCCTTTGTGGTCCATTTTTCTATCATCACATCTTTTTGGAATAAATTTGGTATCGTAAGCACACCATCCTAACAGTTTAGATGACTCACCTAGTCAACGTAATTTTAATTTCTCTTGCCAAGTTTTCAATAATGTATTCATCTTTCTTTATCATCTTACTTTGTAATTCAGTGTCTGCTAGCATCACTGCTAACGGTACCCCTTCTTTTAATTTCTTTCCATTTTGCCGAGTATGTTGGTACACACAAGCAAATTAACCTTAACTGTGCTGCACGGTAGTATTCTAGTACTGTGAGTAGAGGAGGCCCATGCCACGGCATTCCTCTCTTAATTGCAAAGTTTTATACCTGATCCTGGCTTTTTCCCCACAATTAGTACCTGGATATCAACCTGTCCCACTCCATACACTGTATGTTCACTGGGAGAGTCTAAAAAAGATATTGCATTCATGGCAAAAAATTAATTTCAATTGACTCTTTTCTGAACTC